GAACCACCCCGTACCATCCGGAGGGTAACAGCTTAGTAGAGAGAACGAACCGCACCTTGAAAGGCCTGTTAAAGGCATTCATCAACCACGAGACGGTTGACCAATGGGATACGGCACTACCCCGGTGTTTGTTGGCGTACAGAGCCACAATCCAGACGACGACAGGACAAACACCGCACTGCATGATCACCGGGCGGGAAATGCGATTGCCTTCGGACGCCTCACTACCCGCTCCGAACCCCGAGCCGCTGTACGCCACCCCCTTTATACGTCGCCTCCAGTCCAGCATTGAACGGGGTCACCGACTGGCCAGACTGCACTTGCAAGCTGCCCAACGATACCAAAAGGCGTACTTCAACCACCGTGCCAACCAAGCAACATATCGACCCGGCGAGCGAGTGTGGTTATCAGAGCCCGCAGCCCCGGGCGGTGTCCCGACTAAACTACACCGACAGTGGAAAGGCCCCTTTGTGGTTCAGGAAGTCCTCTCGGACAGAACCGTGCGACTCACCCTGCCCAGCCGCCCCCAGTGGTCCACTGTTGTGCACATCAACCGACTGAAGCCAGGAAACCACATCACTGACAGCGCTGAGGACAGCGCCATTCTACGAGGGGTGTGTGTGTAAAGTATCCTAGAAAGTCGAACCTCCCGCCTAATCACATGTTTCCCTTTTCCCCTTATCTTGCAGATTCGAGGGACCCCGCCCCCCAGGAGAACACGAATATCGACAACCAAGAGTAAAACGAAGACACGAAAAGTTGGCTTGTTTTGATCGACCTGCCCCTCTTTCTCTCCGTACTTCTTCTTCCTGTGTGACATCTGATTCTCCTGGTGCTCCTTGTTGCCCGACTGTTATTGTGACCCGAATGTCCGTTTCGCCTCCCTGGATTATTTTAATATAATTGTTCCTCACGTTGAAAAAACTGTGAAGCTCAATACTGTGATGTCAGCTTCTATTCTTGCTGTTGTTCTTCGTGAGGTAGAGAAGATACATGATGATATAAGGAAGTGGGTAGATGCGATTGAATTTATTAATCCATCGTCAGCAAATAACATTGTTTCGGTTTTGGAGTCATATAATGAGGTTGGATCAATTCGTATACCCACGAACACTTTACAGCGTGTTGCTACTACAGCGAGAAAAATGATGAGCGGTCGTACGCCGATACCTGAGAGGAATCAGATTTCATATGTTTCTTAAATACCGTGACAACCTTTAGTGCAGTTAATAAAAAGATGTCATGTACTCGGGTAATATTAAAGGAAGGAATGGTACTTACGCAACACTTTCGAGAGTATAACATGATATCGACTGGCGTGGCCCTTGTTCCTGGTCAGAATCATGGTCAGGTACAGACAGTTCATTTATTACCTGGACGAATTTATGATTTACCTGAACAAGCACAGATAGTCAGTATAAATTCGCGAGTTCAACCGCTTTTTACGACGGGTTATGTCAGGCACGGTTACGTTATGATAACTGACGATTATACTCTTACTTTAGAGCAAGCGTATGCCCAAGTATTACGGAGAGCGAAACCAGCTACTGAAGTCGTACAACCTGATCCGCTGAGAGGCCAGATTTTCTTGCTCTGTTGCAGCGTTGCAGGAATGATCGATACTCATACTCCATTGAATTCAACATCGTTACCTCCAATCCAGAACGATGACGATGAATAGATCTGATGTCGACTATG